ATTTATTTATTTAATATATTTAATATATTAAATATTAATTTGATATTTTAAATTAAATTTATTTTCTTTTAACTCTTCAAATTTTCTTTCAAATAAATGAAATCTTTTAGCGTGACTTATGAGGAAGGAGACTTTATATACAAAATTAATTAATTAAACTCTTTAATTTATCAATTTTCATTCCTTAATTATATCACTCCACTGTAGATCTAGAGTTGCACTCTTATGCACTCAAGGACAAGTTATGTTCATTGATATAACCATTACAACAAAGTCGATCCTTCACGAGTTGTTCATAATTACAACTGGTCAAAAGTCTATTTTACCCCTGTAATTACATCTTTCGCCTTAAATATCACTGATCCTCTAATTCTAATGAACAATTTATTTATGATCCAACCATAAACAAAGTCCCTCTCAGGCCAATGAGAGGATGACCACATTATTCAAGTCCCGAAATCAGTACTTAAGAAAACAACTCATTACTTTTCTTATATGGAAAGAAGTGAATTCCATCTCATGATATTATGTTCTCAACTCCCTATTTGGTCAAGTCCCCAAAATGGTAGACATATTGGATCAGCTAAAAGAGTCATTCTCACCCATGTAAATTAAGATCGAGTCGCATATGATCATCATGTGAAATATTAATCTTTTCAATTAACAGATTTATAAAAAGAGATTAAATATTTCTTGGTTCAGTCTTATGCAAACTCATTGTATATGATACCCCCACTTACATGTCTCCACATAAATGACTTGGATCAAATCATTTGTAACGATTACAAAGTGGGCTATATCAATAGTGTTACCAGGATAAGGCACCTAACCTTATTCATATACTGTAGACTCTTTAGATTATTACTTGAACACGATTCTTTTGTATGTTAACTACATACTATTCAAGATTACATTAATAACCTTGAATTTTCATGTCATGGATAATAATTAAATTACAAATAAAATAATAAAAATTATTGTTATAAACTAAATAATTAGTTATGAGGCTTTATGGCATAAATCCCAACACAGTCCTGGTTTTACGTATTTAAATACCAAATACTAAAATTTAGAGAAAACAAAATCAAATACAAAATAAATCAAATACAAAATAATTTCAAACGATGAAATGCAAAACAACATATTCAAACCTAAGATTAGGAATTTAAATATGAGTCTACCCTATGCACGTGCTACCGTCTTTGCTCACGATGTCGCCGTCTTCCGTACATATGCGCCTTGCCTTTACTTGAAAAATGATGTGGCACACAGCCTAAGTGTTTTGAAGAATACTAAGTAAGTGGTCTCACTATAGGAGGTCATGCAAATGCAAACACATGCAATCATGCTCTTAGGATCTATCTCTATTCTCTAGGGGTGGCCTATAGTCTTAGACAAATAGGATGTGTAGTACTTCTCTACACATGATCCACACGTGCAAGTGTGAATCTCCAGGGGCTTGCACACCCCCTAGACCCTCTCTAGTCAAACTAATCTGTTGCGACGTCCGAAGGCCAGTAGAACCCCATAGTGTCATGTTTCCCATGAACACCATCATCATCATACTGTGCACGTCCGAACTCATCGTCTCTAGGGAAGTATCCCTATGCTTATGAACATACAATATGTATGAGTTCGCTCTAAATTTCATCTTATCGTCTCTTCTGACACAAACTTCTAGTTTCATCTCTTTGTTACATTAAGTAACATGCTCGTTGGATATTTATATTAATATCATTTTCATGCTCTTAAGGTTGTGTCATATGTCGGTCTATCGACATGATGCAATATAACACTCATCATCATATAGCATGCTTAATATGAAAAACATAACCTATAAAACAAACGTCATGCAATCATCATACTCATCATATCGCCATAAAGTGCATAAAGCATATCAAGTACGTCATACATCAAATTATATATATTACGCACATCATCACATCATCATATACTCAAACTTCATCATATACTCGTATATCATTGTACGATACAATTCATGCATAATCATAACTCATACAAATTCTAGTCTATCCGTTAGTAAGACTACTTACTCGGTTGACCTTAGTCGAAGTACTCCCTAATTAATTAACGCAAGATCTCGTTGCTCGAAAGTTGCTCCAAAGGTTGTCGGGGTTCGCTTCCTATTGCACCGATTGTCACCTTTCGTTAGTATTTCACATTTTTATTAATAATCCAACTAATAAGCTCTAAAATGGCTTCAATTACCTTAAACGGGGCAGAAAATAGGTTCGTAAGGATCGGATCGGTGGAAATCGGGGGAAAAATTAAAAGTCGAGCCGATTAGCCATTGGAGCCGCCGTCGTGCCGTCCAAGCTGAAGGGTTGCTCACGCCACAAGGTAACACATGGCAGCAGCAGGGCGAGCCACGTTGTGCAGCGGCGTCGGGTTGAGGCGTGGGTCCAGATGCGGTTTGGGTTGTGGATTCACTTCTGAGTTGCAGGTTGGTTCAACTGGGCCAAGGGAAACTTGGGCCTGCAGATGTGGCCTACTGGATTGTGGGCTGAGCTAGAATTGGGTTCTCGGGTTGCAGATGGGTGTTGTTTTTCGATAATCAGCCAGAGAAATTCGGTGAGAGGAAATCGTCGACTGGAGGTTGTTAGAAGAAAAATAAAATGCTTAAAATAAAAGAGAGAGAATGACTAAAATTTTGACTGCGTTCAAAGTTACATATTCTGAACAGATTTCCTATTTAAATATAAATTATCCTACAAATCGCCCGAGAGTGGCCAAATAAATTTGTGTCATTCCCTACAAAATTTCTGTCTAAAACTTTGGTATCCATTCAACGTGTTTTGTCAAACGATCAAACGGAGGTATTCTGCAATCGTGTGAATCTAAATTAGGAACAACCGAAAAAACCCAGGTTTTATCTAACAATGGGCGCGGGTCCGTTTTCGAGTTGCAGGCGTGGGCTGCTGAGTGAGTTGGAACGAGGTGAGTTTAGGTCTCGGGTCGTGACCGCTGCAGGTTGGACTGGGTTGCGGGTTATGGTTCAGGTCCGACCCGGATCCGATGGAACTCGTCTTCCTTACCCGACTTCTCGCGATTTTTCGACGGACCTTTCTCTCTCCTCTGTGTAGTGGTTTCCGAGGTCTTTTTTTCGTCCTTTTTTTAATTTTTTCACGAAGCTGAGAGATTTCTCCCTCTTCTGTGGTGGTTTTTTTTTTTTTTTTTTTTTTTTTTTTTTTTTTTTTTTTTTTTTTTTTTTTTT